TTCTTCCAAATTTTGAGCTTATCTCAAAAAATGGCCAATTCTCCATGACTCAGAACTCTCTTTGCTATTTGTTACATATTTTGTAGATTTAGTTTGTTTTACCCCCCCAGAAGAGAATGTTAGAATCCTATCAAAGTTCATCCTGGAAAAGAGTGAAATCCCTGTGCCTTGAGAATGAATTTTTTTTTTTTTGGCATGAGACTTGTGTCATTTGTGCCCCAGGACTAGGGGAACCAAAACAGAAACAGCAAACACCACAACAGAATCAGTGCTATCTGCTCCTGTTCTCAGATCCACAGGAAGAACTGAACTTTTCTTTCTTTTTTTTTTTTTGGCAATTTGGGGGTCAGGTGCAATGGGGTGGAGGGGTCAAAAAGTACAAGCTTCCAGTTCTAACATAAATTATGAGGATGTAACGTACAGCGTGGTGACTGTAATCAATTTTGCATATTTCACAGTTGCTAAAAGAGACATCTGAAAAGTTCTCATCACAAGAATTGAACTTCGGTGCAGGTCCCTAAGCTGTTTATGTCCCAAGGGCTTTGTTATCCGACTTTGCAGCTGATGGTCCCTTTTTCTGTGGAATCGTGAAGACTGGAAAAGGAAAGTTAGATGTGCATCTAATAATAACTAGCTTTTAGTGTATTTATCATTCACGTGTTTGATAATGGTTTTGCGGTTATTTAGAACAGAGGTGCTCAGCGTTGGCAGTTTGGACCAGGTGATTCTTTGGTGTGGGGGCTGATGTGGGGACTGCATCTCCACCCACCCGATGCAAGGAGCACCCCCCGTCCTGAAGTCATGGCAACTACAAACATCACCAGAACCTGCCAGATGTTCCCTAGGGACAAGCTTGTCCCTGGTTGCGAATCTCTGATGTGGGAGAAGGTTTCCATTGGTAAGAGATTCATGTTAAAGTATTTCAGGGTGTGGTTTCTACAGCTTTCAACTGATTTAACCAACGAACAGAAAAGTAAAATAAAGGGAGAAAATATCAAAGAAAACAAATGGTGTGTGGCGAGTATCACAATTGAAAAAAAAAAGGAAAGGAAAGGAACCAAAAGGGGGAGTTAAAAAGGGAATGGGAGAACCAAACACGGCGGGCCGGCAGGCCGCCCTCATCACAGCAGGGTGATGACCGTTCTCAGTCGGCAGGGAGCTCTCTTTAGGAGAGGGGTGGGAGGAAGTGATTCTGCTTCGCCTTAATATTTATTTATTGAATGACGCCTTGTTAACTAGCAAATTACTGTTTTCCGTTGGGCATTACCCAGAAGACTGACGTTAAAATGTTATGAAAACAAACAGACAAACAAGGCAGGGGCGGGAGTGCTTATTCTCAATTAAAAGAAACAAAAAGAGCATCAAAGTCGAATGCAACGCTGAGGTTATTATTACTTACTTTTGCTAATGGCCATCGAGACATTTAAATATGACGCTAGATGTATAATTTCGAGTTAAAGTTTAATTTTTGTGGGGTGATAATAGGATTGTGGTTATGTAGGAGAATGTCTTTATTAGGACATGCATGCGGAGATGTTTGGGGGGTTATCCACGACTTATTTTCAAATGGTTTAACACGGCAAAAGACAGCTGCAGTATAGACATATACATGTATACATATATATGTGTGTGTATATATATATATATATGTGTGCGTGTGTGTGTGTGTGTGTGTGTGGA